TGCGCTGCTTCCCCGGTGCACCCCCCGCCTTGTGCCTCTTGCTGTCCCCTGGCTGCCTCTCGGTTGGTCGCTTCACCCCGACCTTACTCCCGATCTTCGCCTTGCTTTTCTTTCCCGCTGCAGCCTTTCCCTCCGCTTGCCGGCTGCTGCTGCTGCTGTTGTTGCTGTTGCTGCCGCTTGGTCTCATGCTGAACTCGGGATCGTCCACCTCTTCTCCGTCCACCTTTGCGGACCCTGGCGCTTTCTTCCCGGCCGTGGCGCTCGCCGACGGCACCGGCGCCGCCATTCCTAGCGCTTTCTCCTTTGCAACTCTGACGACATCGATGAAGGAAGTATGTACGTTGAGTCCAAGCTGCAGACGGTCGAAGTGGTTGTGCTGTTTATGGCCTGCCTCACCTACACCCTCGCGCGCTGCCCACGGATCGTCGTGTTTCCGATAGAGCAGATGCACCCAGCGATCCCCCTCCTCGTCCATTTTGTCTTTTTTCTCGAACAAGAACATGCCTGCCGTGAGGGCTGCTGAGTACGGCTGAACTGTGCCGTACAGTGGGGCTTGGCTCCCACAACATGATGTTCACCCCGTACTCCGACGCCAGAAAAGAGAACCAGGTCACGTCAATCCATTTTGTTGTTGCACTTAGCTGGGCTTTCTCGCGAAACCAACCGACCGTCTTATCCTCCGGCGCCGTCATTTCTTCCACGGCAGCTCCTAAAACATCCGGTATACGCACACTCCGGGCCCGCCCAAGCTGGTCTGGTGAGAGTACAGCTGTCAAGTCCTCAACACCGGATGCGCCAAGAACATGTTCCGTGGCTCGACGGGCGACCACGCTCCTCATGTTCTCTGGGGTGGGGGCGGCCCTTGTTCTACCGAGGCAAACCTGCAGACCCGCGGACATCGCACTAAACCCGCAGTGGCCATCCGGCTTTACGGTATACACACCAGCGCGGTCGGGCAAGACCATAACCCTCCCACCTCTTGTCAATTCTGTGCTGCAAATGATGCGCGACGCAGATCCATCGATGTGCTGCTGTACCCGTTGGCCCAACGCAGCCGGCTGGGGGAGCTAGCTCCTGTTCCTTGCGAACGTGATACACAGGAACCCCGTCCATAGCGCTCGTGCGAAAAATCGCAACAAGCAGGAGGAAAAACAGCATCATTATCGCGTTTCTGCGTGCTGGACTGAGGTCCACAGCAGCACAGCAGCAGCGCGGGATGCAGGGTGCTGCGGAGCATTGCAACTCCCAGGCTTTCAATTTTCTGTATAGGGGACGTGCTGTTTCTGTCCCCGGTCGTTACTTTGTTTCTTTTCGAGCGGTCTAGTCGTACCGTCGAGCCGTCGTCGACGCAGGTATCCACAGCTCAATTCGGTTCGAAAGTTGTCGCATATAAGAGTTATCGTGCCTGCTAACATGCCCGATTCGGGGGTGTAGTCACGTAAGGGTTAAATAGATTTTTCTTTGACGACGGGCCGCAACTGCTGTATAAATGGAGACTACATGTAAACCCAGGTTGGGTTGGGTTTCAAGCAGTTCAGATACACGTGGCATACAAGATGGGGATATAGCAAACGGACAAACAGCAGGGTAAGGAGCGTGCAGGCCTCTGAAAAAACCTTCCGGCAGTTGCACGGTACAGTACCCTCAACGTCGGGGGTGCGGTACACGCGTAAGACTCGCTCGTTCGCTCGGTGTGTGTTGCCTGTTGCCTGTCTCACTCTCTCTGGATGTTTTCGGGGCTCAACAAGGCCAGCCGGCAACAACAAGGATTCGGCTCGCCCGCATCTCGGCAGGCCGCTAGTTCTGCACATATTTTCCTGTATAGCAGCGCTGCGCTGTATGCACTGAAGAAGACTCCAGGAGCAGAGAGAGAGAGAGAGAGACGGAGAGAGTCGCCTTGTCTGTGTCTCATGCTCAATTCGTGGGAAGCGGTGCAATTATTGCCAAGGGCGGCACGAAGGCACGAAGCGGTTTCTCTCCTCGCTCCTCACCTGCAGGATAACCAGTAGAACCAATCCAAGCCCAACAGCGACAATCAGCCAAAATGGTACCTCCAGGCCCATCCACTTGGTCATGGTGCCCTGACAACGGGGATGGGAGACACTGGTGCTGGGCACGAAGGCCTTGCGAAGCAGGAAGGCAACGAACTAAAGAAGGCAACAAAGGGGGCACAAAACTGGTCATCTTTTTGCACATACCGCCGGAGGTGTTCAATATGTTTTGCAGGGCCTCTAGAAAATCTGGCGGTGCTGTCGTTCTTGGGTTGATTTGCTGTGTTGCCCTCACACAAGCCACACGTGTGCGCTCAAGGCCCCTTTGAGAGTGGGAGTGTCAGCGAACTCTTCACAGCACAGCAGAACCGAACGCGTACTCTCCTGACTACGCTCACTGCTGGGGAACCGCAAAACTGCTACACTCTCACCTTCGCAAGCGCGCATTCTCTTCCCACGCGCATCGAAGTTGAAATCGACTATAATAGCAGCATCAGCAGCATTTCCGACAAAAAGCGCGAAAGTCACACGGCACAAGATTCAAGGGACGGAGTGGGCCAGGGCGATCGACTTGCGATGGATCTGTCGCCTAGAGGGGAGGCAGCGCTTTCAACGGTAAGGGTTCCACGCGTAAGACTGCTTGTGGGAGCCGACGTGATTTTTGTGTGTGTGGTGTTGTCATGTACGGCTCCCCAGAAAATTTGAATTGTTTGCGCACACCGGAGAAAAAACGCGCGAAGCTCGCCATCCTTCCGGCCGCGAGCAAAATCGTTAAACAACAACAATTGCCGGGAGGCCACCACAAAGAGAATTGGCAGGATCGGAAGGGGGAGTGGAAGAGAGAAGCACTAGACTGCTGTGTCGCAGTTGGCCGTCTACTTGCAAAAAAGTAGGTCAGTACTCTCTCTCCCTCCCTCTCATGAGCAAATGCGGCTGAGCCAGGTCTGTCGTGTGCGTTTATTTGAAAATCTGAGGATCGATCGACCTTCCTCACAGCAGAATCAAACCCTGCTTCTGCTGCTGCCGCTGCACAACCAAACAAGGGATGCTGCACTTCTCTAGTTCAACCTGCCCTATTCACCATCCTCAGCTACACCGGAAGCGACCTGGGCCGCACGCAGTGTCTGGCCTTTGTTGTGTTGCGTTTTTCGATGCAATTTCGTGCCTTCCCCCCGCCGGCGGCGGCGCCATATTTCAACTTGTTGTGCAGCCATCTCTCTACTACGGTACAATACTGCTGTACCAGGTACAATAGTCTCGGTTTGTTCCTCCTCCCCAAACCTTAACCTTATTCCACCTCCGGAAGCACGCTGCACTGCAGTCGCAAAAGAGGCGCTGCTATGGTGTTACGCTGGTGTCGGATCGGGGGTAGTTTGCGCGCTCGCACAAATGCTGTGTCCAGCGCTGCTTGTGAGATAGATCCCTTCTCCATCATCGCAACCATTTACTGTTTTTGAACTACTGCTGTACAGCAGTACGCAGCCCGATTCGTTCCATTAGCCGCGCGTCCTGGGTGTACCTCTACTGCTGTGCGCCGCCCTCATGCTACAGGGACCTACAGCAGTATCGACATGCTTGACTCTGGCACTTCCCCCCTTGATTGCCTTTCGCAATGTCATCACTGCTGCTGCCGTTCGCACAGGTTTCTTTTCCGGAGACACCGACACCTCCAACGGGCATGGCAGCACCAGGCCGCACTCATTCGTGCCACTCGAGGTTAGCCAACGCTGGCGTTGGGAGCGCCGGCAAGGCCTGCGGCGGCGGCGGCGGCGACGAGAGCACCAAGGCGAACAGCTCGGCGCGCAACAAGTGTCCCCTGTCTCCACCAAGGCCCCGGTTGAAAACAGTGAGCGAGCTTCTTTTCCGTGCGCAACAAACCGCCGTCGCTTACATCAGTTTGGAATAGGAACAAAAACGAACTCACACAGATGGATGCTGTACCTGAAATAGTGGCAACGCGCGCGGCCGTGCCCTCTTTACCGTCCTTTTTGGGGGTTCTGTTTTCTGTTTCTCCCTCCGGCGGGGTGTAGGTCCAAGCTGGATAGGTTTTGCGCTCATCACACGCTGATGTATATCTGTCGACATGTATTTCGGGGTCTTGCACGTAGTCTCACCAGGCGGTACGCATATATGTACCATCACAACGCTGTTTGCACTGCTGTCACCAAGGTTAAGTCACTCTCCGGGTGGGATTGATCTCTTCCCCACCCACAGGCCTCCACCCTTTCCGCCTCGGGAAGGCTTCGTTAAATCCGAGCTCCCAGCACTACACGTGTGCATGTTCTTAAGCCCTGTCGTCGACCTTGTCGTTTGTCCCACCTCTCTTGTGTTGTTGCTTGCGCCAGGCTTGCAAGCCCAGCCCGGCTAGAAGCGCGGCTGCTGTCATCCTCGCAACCCTCCTCGGCGGGCAGCAGCAGCCGTCACCAGACGACGGCACGGCCTTGCCATGCCTGCAGGCGGCGGTAGAAGACATGGCCAACCCAACCTCTTCCGGCAACAGCAACGAAGGAACAAACGGGGCGGCGCTTGGCGCGCAGCCGCAGCAGCAGTGGACGGGTGGGCAGCAGCAGCCGGGGGCGGAGGGCGCGACACCGGCGGTTGTCGGCCGGGAGGGGGCCGGCGGTAACGCCGGCGGCGTGGAGGGGCTCCCGCGGGCGGCGGGTCAGCCGCAACGCCTGCAGTGGGGGGCGCGCGAGGACGCCTCCGTTGGTTCTCCGCAGAGGGAGTCGCCGCCGCCGTCTCTCGGAGGCGACAAGGGCGGGGAGGCCCGCCAACAAGGCGCCAACCACCACGGCGGTGGCGGAGGTGGAGGCGGCGGCAGCGGCGGCAGCGGCGGCGGAGGCAGGAGGCGGAGGCGGCGGCAGCAGGAGCGCCGCGCGAGGTGGTGGAGAAGGTGTTGCGGCCGGCTCGCCGCCGACCTTCCCCGCAGCAGCAGCAGCAGCAGCAGCAGCAGCAGGCTCCCCCTCTCCCGCCGCTGCCGGCGTGCGCCGCTCCCCCCGACAGCGCTCGCCCCGCAAGCGGTCTTACGCCGACGGCGACCGGCGTTGCGGCGATAGCAGCGGCGAAGGCCGGGCGCGGAGCCAGCTCTTCTGCGCCGGTGGGGGTGGAGGTAACAACAACAATACCACCCCCAGGGGGAGGGACTCGGAAGCACCGCTCCCGCTCCCGCCACCGCCGCCGCCTCCCGCGGTGGCCGGGGCTTGGACTCCATCGCCGAAGGGTGTCGCCGCCGGCAGCGGTAGCGTAAGGTCGATGGCCGGCCCGGGAGGGAGCGGCAGCGGCGGCAACGGCCGGGGTGAGGCCGTGGTGACGCCGTCGGTGCCGGAGAGTGGCGGCGGCGGTGGCGGGCTGCTCTTCTGTAGGGAGGACCTTGGGGCGGCGGGATCGGGGTTGGGGGACGACCTTGGGTACAGCAGCTACTGCCGGAAGGACAAGGTGAGGTTCTTCGCTATTGGTACGTGTTACCTGTGACGATGGTGTTCCGGCCGCTTGTGAACTCGTTCGTACGTCTGGTTGACGCTGCTGTGAAATGCAGCCAAAAACACTGCTAAGGTGACACGACAAGAAGCTGTTGATCGACACTTTGGAGAGTCGGGAGGGGAAGACACAGCAGTAGTAGGGTCGGTTGACGATGAGCGTTCATGCAGAACACCACCTCGTATATGGTGAGTTTTTTTTGGCATCAGGAGAGGTGCACGGAGATATTTTTTGCTGGGGTTGCTGCTTCGTACCCGTGGCTGCACACCCCACCATGCCTTGTGTGTCGGACACGGCGCATGCCACGACGAGGTCCTGCCGTGGCGGAAGTCTCTTGCCGCCTAGACCCACACCGTCATATCCATCGACCGGCAGAGCAATGTGGTCCTAGCCAGAGCTCTGACCTCGCGTGCTGCTTTGCTTACCATGTATATGTGACTCGGTCATCTGTACATTTGCAGTCCCTGTTTACCGCTCCCTTTTCTAACGCGTAAATCCCGACCCTGGAAACCTTTGTCCACGCACTCTCGATATACAGCGGTTGGACGTTTTTGGTACAAAGCCACGTCCCCGTTTCCCGCTAGCTCCGACCATTTTAACCTTCATCCTTAACGCACGCGCAATGGTTGTTGGGACGATTTTGCTACGAAGTCACACCCCCGTTTCCCGCTCCGGCGTAAATTGAAACCATATCCCTCACCGCACGCACAATGGTTGTTGGATGTTTGTTGCCACGTGCGAAGTCTCTCGGCCTTCTCTGCGGACGGTTTGTGGAGGTGTACGGGCACAGCCAGCACTTTCGTGACCGGGTTGCGGGAGGCGGCCCCGTTGCGGGAGGCGGCCCCGTTGCGGGAGGCGGCCCCGCTGCCGCCGCGGGCGGTAAGAAGGGTGACAAGGGGGATGGCGAGGAGGGGATGATCGAGCTCGACAAGGCGGCGGCCGAGCTGGGCGTTGCGAGGCGCAGGATCTACGACGTGATCAACATCTTGGAGAGCGTCTGTGTGGTCACCCGCGCGAGGAAGAACACCTACAGGTACGGCGGGAGGGGTGGACGAGGAAAAGCAGCGAGCCGTGTCTGTTTTGGGGTTGTTCGTTGTTGTTGTTGTTGTTGTTGTTGTTGTTGTTGTTGTTGTTGTTGTTGTTGTTGTCGGTGATGTTGGTGGTGGTGGCGATTGCAACAGTTGTTGTTGCTGATGCTGATTGGTCGTCGTTGTTGTTGGAGGCGGTGGTGATGGCAATGGTGGTGGTGGTGGTTGTAGTTGGCCTCTACTGTTGGGGCAAGCTGGTTCGATGTTGTATGACGCCAGGCGGTACGTACGGTTAAGGCCGCGCGCCGATTGAAGCAAGCGAATTCTGGTACGGTATTGCAGCAAGGTCTTTTCCTGCGTGCTTCTTTACCGCTGCAGCATCTAACGTTTGTGGTCGATGTTGCTGTCGATCGGTGTCGTTGCTGTTGGTACTGGTGCTGGTGTTGTTAGTGTGCTGGTGCTGCTAATGTTGTTCGGCAACCCAGCATTTGTGTCTCAGAAAACCTTTTCATTTTTCATGTCAGTAGCAACAACCAAACCTGTGTTTTTGCACCGCATGTTTTGAGGTTGTACCGCATATATTGAGTTGTGCCGCGTATAACCTGGTTGTACCGCATATAGTATGGTTGTACCGCATATAGTGAGGTCGTACAGCGTGCGAAGGCGTACCATCCCATGACGATCCCTAAACCCTAGACGTTCAAGCTGACGAATTTCCCGGTCATGCTCCCTCCTCTCTCGGAACGTACCCAACCGACCGCCGTTGTTGGTGCCGACGGCGGTGGTATGTCACGGTTGGACGGACCACGCTATCAATGGACAGGTGGCACGGCAAGAAGAACTTGATCCTGACCCTTCGACAGCTGCAGAGGACGGCCACCCACGTGTTCCCCGAAGAAGTGGCCAAGAACGGTAGGTGGCAGTAGCAGCAGCTGCACCACAGCAGAGTAGATCTGTGAGGCATGGTGCGGAATAGGAAGAAATCCATGTGTGTCTTCCCGTCTTGTTTGTGGCCAGGTGGACGAGAGATGTGGCTTCTTCTATGTTGTGTGTGTCTTCTTGTCTTGCTTGTGGCCATGTGGGCGGGAGAGTGGTTTCTCTGTTGTGTGTATCTTCTTATTAATAGCTTGTTTGTGGCCGGGTGGGCGAGAGATGTGTCTTCTTCTTTATTTGAACTCTTGCATTTCTCGCACGCCCATCCCGTGCCCCCCCCCCCTCGTGATGCCCAGGCATGACCGAGTGCCTCAAGCAGGCCAAGCTCATTGGCAACGCGGTTGGTTCTCTCGGAGGTCCCAGGGCTGACGGAACAAAGGTAAAATAGCAGCAACAAACGGCTGCCGTCATCATCGTCGCACTTGAGGCGAGGTTTCGAGAGTTCCGTCTTCCGCGTAAGCTTTTTTTTTTTTGGCCGTGTCGTTGTTTGTCTCGTCCCGCGGGGGTAGGTGTCCGGACGATCCGCTTGGCACTTGCGTAGGGGGTTGGGGCGAGGGTAGACGGTTCGAATGGGACAGGTCGGACGCAAAAAATCCCAACATGCTCGGTGTTGGCATGGTCTTCCTTCCTCCCACTCGACGATAGTCCTGACTGACCGTCGCTCGTCGACTTCGTCCTGCTAGTCTCTCTCCATCTCCCTCTGTCTCACTCTCTCTCTCTCTCTCTCTTTCTCTCTCTCTCTCTCTCTCTCTCTCTCTCTCTCTCTCTCTCTCTCTCTCTCTCTCTCTCCCTCCCTCCCTAATTCCCTCCCTCTCTCCATTGTCGGGGTCGGCGTTGCCTACAGGAGAAGAGCCTAGGCGGTCTCTGCCGGCGGTTCGTGCAGCTCTTCCTCGTGGGCAACGACGTCGTCAGCGTCGGCGAAGCCGCAGAGAAACTCTCCGAGCCCAGCGACGTGAGCGCCGCTTGCAGCATAAAATTGCATGCAGATTATACTACTTGTTGGTTCGTTCAGGTTTGCTGGGCTCTTGGAGTCAAAAACACACGTCAGCTGTGTCTGGTCCTCCTGCTGCCTTTCATCTTGCAGCACTGTTGTTTCTTGAACCCGCTCCGGGTCACTTGTACATACATGTATATATGTATCGCACAGCAACCGAGCAAGAACATGTTGTTTACCCGGGAGCAAAGCAGTGGTGCAGTGCAGCACAAGTAGTGCCGAGATTTTTGTACTCGGCACGTAACGGTGATTGTTGTTGTGGACGGGGACCCTCTGCCTGTTGGTGGCAGGTGGCTGGGTCAACCGTGGTGTTCAAAACCCGGGCGAGGAGGCTGTACGACATCGCCAACGCTCTGGCTGCACTTGGCCTCGTGGATAAGGTGCGATATTCGTACGTGACGCAAGATACCCCCCCCCCCCCCCCCCTCCCTGGACCGATGTTCACACCTCTACGAGGAAGGGGTTGCAAGTCTCAATCGATTCGTTAGCGGAAAGGTATAATAGGTTCCAACGCTTCGGCGCCGCCTCTCTCTTTCGGCTGTGGAGTGGTTGAAAATCGGTCAACGGGTGTGGTATCTTGTGTCATGTCGCCTACGGTATACGACCCAACCCTCGCCTGCTCTTTCACCACCCCCAACACAATGCCGATGCAGTCCAGCGCTCTCTCTCTCTCTCTCTCTCTGTGTGTGTGTCTCGAGGCACGTGCATGTCGGCCCTGAGGAGCATCTGGAAGCTATCCATGCCACCCCCCCGAAAATATTGTGTACACTTGGATTGCTTGGTTGCTACCCCTACAGCTCTCTTCTATGCTATGCCGCGTTTCTTGCCCTTGGCGAGAAAAAGGGCTTGCTTTGTCGGAACTGTCGCTCACGCTCGCGCCCTCTCCCATGGATTCTGTGTATTCGAAGCATGGCCGTGCCAACGACTGCTGTGGTCACCCTGATTCGAGCAATCTCCCTTATCCTCCGTCTATAGGTGTACCTTGTTTTGTGTACCTTCTCTGTTGTTGTTGTGAGTTCACTTTTGGTCTTTTTTAGGTTGAGTGTCCCCACTCTCACACACATTCTTTCTACTATCGCTCACACATCTCCTGCCCCTCAGGTCCGTTCCAAAGACTCGTGCAAGCCAAACTTCCGGTGGATCGGGGTGCCCGTAAGGACCCTGCCTCTCCTGGACCCTTCCCAAGCACAGCAAGCAGGGGCCGCCGCACGCCTCCCGCACACCGCCGCCGCTGCCACCGCCGACAACAACCGACTGCCCTCACCCACCACGACTAGCGGGCCGTGTCCGAAGTCTGGCAGCCTTGCTGCGCCCGCCGCGCTTGCATCCAACGCGTTCGGCTACGCTGCTGGCGAAGCTACCGGCGGTGTTGTTGCTGCCGCTGTTGCCGCCGCTGCCGCCGCCGCCGCTCCTGCGTCTCCTGCTGTTGGAACCCCGGGGTTTTCGTGGAACCCGCTGGGTGTTGGAACGCTGACAGCCTCGAAGGGCAACGATGTCGAGAACGCGGGGCTCGGCACCGCCGGCTGCGCCGGAGACGCCTGGGCCGAGAATGATCTCAACGACATGGGGGGGGTGTGGACTCCCCTCGCTGCTGCCGTGGAGGGCTTTGAGACCGAGGTACGCGTGTCGGATGCGCGGCCCGCGGCCGTCATCACTCTGTTCGGAAATATGGGGACCTTTGGCATTTTCGCCGTTCAGTATCACTCTGTTTGGAAATATAGGGACCGTTCGGATTTTCGCCGCGTACAGTATCAATCTGTTCCGAAACATAGGGACCATTGGGATTCTCGCTGTTTTGCACTGTTCGGAGATGTAGGGACCATAACATTGGGATTTTCACTTTTTCAACCGAAGCGCCCTTATGTTTTTGAAACATGATGGTATGGATTTTCACTTTTGTAGCCAAATCACCGGTATATTTTGAAACAGAAGTGGTACTTCTGTCACCGCCATGAGTACTCGAAAATGGAGTTTTGGAGGGGGGTTGCCTCCCAGCGGTGACGTCTAAAGGTTGTTGCGTTGTTTTTTCTCGGACCAGCTGCTGCTGTCCCATGTGCGCAAAGAGCAGTTCGTCTCTCTACAACAAGCCCTTGCCACCAGAAGTCTCTCTTTTGCTTAGCAAGAGGTCAGCCCCACTTCTGTGATTGATGGCCGTGGTTGAGACCTCGACAACAAGAAACCGGTTTCTGACACCCATGGAACGGTACAAAGAAACAGCGAGGAGTACGAGCTCTCTCTGAGACTAACGCCTGGTGTGCACCACTTCACTCCCCCCCCCCTTCCAGGTCGGGTCGGAGTCGAGACGAAGCAGACTAAGACGGCCTTCGTTCGAAGGCATGAGCCCTCCGTCCACCCTCGCGTCCACGCGGTGGGTTTCTCCATCCGACACGCCGTACGCCACGAACGCGGACGTTGCCACCAACGGATGTAGCGGCGGCAACGCCGCCAAGGCGCCCACCCCTGCCGCCGCCGCCGCCGCCGCTGCTGACGGCCCTAAGGCCGCCGCCGCCGCCGCTCTTTCGTCGTCGTTTATGGCGCCGGAGGGGCCGTCGGACGTCATGTCGGACCAGGGAAGCCCCGTCGACCCGCGCCAGGTAAAGCTCGGTCCTGCCCTTTCCTCGCAGTATGTAGCCCTCGCGAGGTTTTTCGGTTCAGGAAACATGTTGAAGAAAGCATGCAATCAATCGGGGGAGTTGGGTTAGGGCTAGGGATAGGGATAGAGTCTGCGTACCCCCTCCCTGTTCTATTTCCTCATACTGGAACACTTCAATTTCTCGCAAAGGCCGTCCTCGAGTGGTCTACGCATCGGTACATTTACGTAGATGACGTGTGCCCATCCATCACTTGGATTTACCCCCCCCCCCCCCCATGATTTGATTTGCTGTTCGTATCTTGCGTTCCATGTGAGGGGGACGACAGGTCTTGCACGGTATGTGCGTTTTGACTGACATGTGTTGCCGCAGAGTGCGGCTGTCGCGCCCGCTCTTCTAGGCGGAAGCTTTTGCCCGGCCTGAGTCTTGGGGGGAGGGACAGCTTTAGACCGCGATGAGTCATGTAGTAAACAAAAGTCTTGCAAAATCTGAGTGTGGTTTCGTGTTCTGCCTGGCACCTTCGCGGCCCTTGCAGGTTGTCCCTTGACCGTGCTCTTGGCTAGCTGTCCAACGGGTTATTTCGCTGATCGCAACACACTTTGATGGAACGTGCTTCAAAAGCTCGCTCATAGTCTCTCTGCCTTCTCTCTGTTCGCTCACAAAATGAACGCGTTTACCGGATGTATTTTGCATCCGACATGTGATTGCGTCTGAACCCGGTGCCTCGCAGGTGATGCGCGAGTTCCCGGACCCGGGCTCCTACGACGCCCCCTCCTCCTCCTCCTCCTCCTCCTCCTCTAACTCCGTCGAGCGGTGGGCGAGGAAACGCCGCAGGTCCGTTCCCCGGTACGACAACGACGACGACGCCTGGCTCGCCCACCAAGGGGACGGAGACGGAGGAGGGGGCGAGAAAAAGAAGGAGGACGACGCGTTCTCGACCGCGCAGCTCAAGGCGGCCAAGTCGGCTGCGGTAGCGGCCTCCAAGATGGCAGAGGCGCGCGCCGCCGCCATCACTACTACTACTACTACCCCCGGGCGGGCGGCGGCTGCGCCGCCGCCTCCGCCGCCGCCGTCGTCCGGCGGTGGCGGAGGCGGCCGCAAGAGGGCCAGGAACCGTTCGGTGGGTGTTGCGGTGGCCGGGACGACGATGACGACTAACGCGGGGTCTTGCCGGGGAGGGGTGTCGACCCCTAACACACGCCCGGGCGCCTCCGCCGCGGCGTCGTCGTCGTCGTCGGGTAGCAGAGGCGGTGTTGTTGCGCGGGCGTTGAATGCCGCCCCCCCATCCCGCGCGCGCAACAACGATGCCGTCGGGCGGAAGCAGGGGGGGGCACGCGGCGGCGGCAAGGCCGGCGGCGGCAAGGCCGGCGGTGAGGGGGCTATGATGGACGGCGATGCCCAGGGGGGCGCGGTGCGGTGGTTCTCTCTAGGCGGGGGGGGCGCGGCCGTCGCGGTGACTCCGGAGGAGAGCCCCCTCGCTCCTCCGCCCGACCCCTCCTCCATGAAGGAGTGTCTGGATGAGTACATGGAGGTGAGCTACGCTGAGCACGTGCTGTATGTACGATCGCGATTCTTTTTTTGTTTTTTACCATTCGTCGCCCTCTTCTTTTTGAGATTTCTACAAGTGCGAGATTTTGAGAACATGGAAACCGACATTATTTTCTCGTGTGAACGGCAACATGGGTGTTTTGGAGGTGCCGAACGAGAGACTCGAGACTCCCCTCGTCCGTGATCCGAGATATACCAAAGGGGTGGCTGCAGCTTTGGGGTTGGGGAGGGTGACGGGCGATGCTGACACTACGTATGTTGTGATAGCTTCGAGGAGACGGCGGCAGCAGCATCCAAATCAACGCAAGATCGAAAGTGCCACAACGTGGTACACACATAACGCAGCAGCGCACACACGTGTTTCAAAACTCCTGACCCGCGACCCGCCGCTGGCGTGCTCGTCGCCCCTCCCGTTAACGTGCTCGTCAGACCTACACGGAGCAGTGGAACAGCTGGCGAGATGGCGGGACGGGCGACTTCCGCCCGCCCGCCTTCCTGTCGCCTGGGCTCGGAGCCGCCTTCGGCAGCAGCCCGACCAGCCCCACGTTCTTCGCGAGCCCCCCCCCCCTGCCGCCGGTGGCGAGTAGTAGCGCCTTCAGCAGGAGTTCCCAGGACTGGGGCAGTGACGAGGCGGGGGCGGATGGGTCCCCCGC